TATCTGTATCTGTATCTGTATCTGTATCCGTATCTGTATCTGTATCTGTATCTGTGTATTTGTATTTGTATCTGAACTTCAGTACGATGTATCTGTATCTCAAGGTGCTCAATGTAACTGCATCTGCAACTACAATTAAATTTCTATATGTTCAATGCAACTCTATCTATAGCTAATATCATCTCTAATTGCCGAAGGTAACTCAAACGGTTCTTTGGCTGCCTTTGGCTTGTCCTGTCGCCGCCTGCTTTTGATGCCTGCTCGCATTTCGCTGAGCGAGCAGACAGCTGAGATAAACACCATGAGTGAGAGCGAGAGAGTTTAAGGTAAAGTCCTCTTGTGCCCGCATCTAATGGCTTGTTTATCGCTCACATCGATCGCAGACCAAATAAATTAAGTGCTTTAATTGGCTGCCTAATTGATAGCAGGCGTCGCCTCTTGTCTCTCTCTCTCTCTCTCTCTCTCTCTCGGTCTCTCTGGGCCCAGACGCTGATGCATGATTAGTTCTCTACGCTTAGCGCTACTTATAGAAGCGACTCGCTGTGATCCGATTTGGTCTGAGCTGCACACATCCTGCCAAAAAGAAAAGGAAAACTACTAGCTAGCTGCCGTTAATCCGCCTCTAGCCTACTGGGCATCCTGTCCAGCTGGCTCAATCGGTGTCTGCCTCCAATTGCATTTTGCCATTGTTTTTCCACATCTTGCCATCGTTTTCCCTTGGCCCACACAATGCACTGTGGAATGCTCACACACATGATAAGCATCGGACAGGAAGCCCACAGACAAAGACAAAGGATGTTTGCTTAGGCTCAGCGGCTAATACATGTTTGCTGGTACGTGACTTTCTATGGCTTGTGCGTTAATATTCCGCATATATAGACGAGGCGGACAGACTTGCATATATGTCTGTGTGTTTTTCTATATTTTCTATATCTGTGATGCCTTACCTATTTGCTTAGCCTGTTTATTTTCAATTACAGGTATTTGTGCTCACGCATAATTAAAAGAAATGCGTAAAGCATAAGGAAGTAAACGCTTGACAGCCAACAAGCAGTGCTATGCTAGATTGATAGACTTTTAGATATCCTTTAAGCCACTGAGAACTGCTTATATGCAGCGATATCTATATATCATGAATTAGTATCCAGTAGAGCCCCATCCCAAATACTTGAACAACACAAGAATACGCCATTTATAAATTACTTTCAATAGCTAGACAATAGAGTCTGTAGAATGATGATAATTTCCAATAGTCATTTCTCAATCTGAGATCTTACAGCTGGCAGCGAGAGCTCCCTCGACAAGGGAGGAAAGCAGGCAGTCAGGCACTGAGGGGCGTGTGCCGTTCATATATCAAGTTCCAAATATAGTGACCAAATCATTTTAGGGAAAACCCCATGGATGCCGAGAGCAGACGCTGCTAATCAAATGTTATCACAAGTACCAAATGTGCCGCTATATATAGTCATATGTACAGAGCGCTATATGGAGCGCTGCATGCACCCTCGACTAAACGATTAATGGCTAAAAACAGTTCAGGCTCTGTTTGGGACATTAAAACTGCACCAAAATATACAGAAAAGTGAATTTTATGATCTGCGCTGAGGGGGAACACGAAGAAGAGATGAGAAAACATAAACCACCCGCCTACGCCCCACATTTCCCCATATGGCATGCCTTGCCTAATCCTAGCCAGACTCGTGGACTGCCATTTTATTGGCACTTTCCCGAACTATAAATCAATAAACAGTCATCCCATAAACTTTTCAGCTGGAACTATTTAGTTGTTCCGAGGGGAGTTCCCTAAAAATTGTACTAGTGTTTCGTCAGACTTGCGGTAATTTCGTTGGCTCGTCGTAAATAGGCGTCGAGTCGTTTGTCATTTCGTGTTGGCAGCTGCCCCCGCCATAAAGAACAATGAAGAAGAAAAACGATCATTAACACCAATTTTTGTGGAGCCGAGACAGAACTTAAAGCCCAGAAGTTACAGATATTTATGCTATATAACTATATGTATATATAAAGAGGGGGAATAAAATGCGATCGTAAAAGCAAACACACAACAGATTCCGAGAGACATTCAAATGCCACACACACAAGACGTAAACGTTGAGAAAAACCCCTCCCCCCACCCCTCGGTGGACAGAGCAAGGTAGATTTGTAAAAAGAGAAAGAGATAGAGCT